CGGCCCCCCACCACCCAACCCCCTCCCCTCTACGCCTAGGGACCTGCTGGGGCCAGGAGGCAGGCCTCCCAGATGGGGCTAGTCCGGGCAGCGGCCCTAGGCACCCACGTTGCCTCCCTTCTCCACGTGCGCTCGGGAGCTGCAAGGACAGTCCCTCGTGGCAGAGGAGGCTGCTGCCTACAGGCAAATCGTGCAAATGCAGTGAAAGTTGGGGTGGTTTAAAAACTTTATAGCACTTACTTCAGCAAACTCGTTACAAGACCCTCTTCAATCTTGTTCCCAACCAAGGGTTCCCTGTCCCCAGCGCTCAGAAGCTAACACTATGGCATCAGCTTCTGAGACAAGAAAGGAGATTTACCTCCCAGGTGACCGGCGAGAGGCCGGGAGGCCCGGCTCTAATGTGTCCTCCATATCCGGGGTTTGGGGCGGGGTTTTACGGGGTAGCATTTAAGAGTTCACACGTGTTCCTCTTGAGTGGCGAATCCAAGGTTTAAACTGGTTCTGGGTCTGTTAGAAACAGGATAGGGCCAGGTTACAATCTCATTCCCACTCTCCCAAGCAGAGTTTTTGTTGTTGTTATTAAGCGGAGAAGAAAACAAACAAAAAAAAAAAACAAAAAACAACCACTACCACCCCCGCCCTCAGGCATTATGGCCAGAGACCATACGTAATTTGCATAACTTGAACTATTAAAAAATTATTAAGTCATGTGTCACGGCCCAGAATATAGCCTGTCTTGGTGGATATTCTGTGTGCCCTTGAGAAGAAGGTGCATGCTGTTGTTGCTGAGTGCAATGTTCTATAAAAATCAACTCGCTATGCCGGTCGACAGCATTGTTCAAATCTTCTGTATCTTTGCTGATTTTCCTTCCATCTTCTTGTTCAATCAATTATTCTAAGGGGTTTTGAAACATCTGTCTATAACTATGGATTTGTCTATTTTCTTTTGTAGTTCTATTAGTTTTTTTTTATTCTTGTACTTTTAAGTTCAGCTATTAGTTGAATAAATGCTTTCGATCGTTGTGGTGTCTTAATGACATGGCTCCTTGTCATTAAGAAATTATTTTCTTTGCCCTTTAGACTGCAGACCCATGAGTCACTCTAGTGTCTGCCTCTGTCTTCACGTGGCCTTCCTTTTATGTGTGTGTCAAATCTCCCTTTCCTTTCTCTTATAAGGACACCCTAAGTCCAGGATGATCTTAGCTCAAGATTCTTAACTTAATCATACAAGCAAAAGTTCTATTTCCAAATAGGCTCGCATTCACAGGTTTCAAGAATTAGGATGTCGACATATATTTTGGGGACCACCATTTAACCAACTATATGTCCTTACAAAGACTTCCACATAAATATTTAGGGCAGCTTTATCTGTAGTAGCCAAAAAGCAGAAACAATCCAACTCTTCATCATCAGGTGAATTAATAAATTCATTCCTTGCCACGGAATACTTCTTGGCAATAAAAAGGAATGAACTACTTCTACACACAAGGACTTGGATGAGTGCCAA